GTTTTGTAGCCATACCTGCATATTTTTCAGACAAACAGCTGCACTTCTTGTTGGTCGAAATAACGATTGGCCTAATCACCTACTCGTGTTTATATGCTGCACTCATTATTTCAATAATCCCTTCCTTGCTGCTAAGGTAATTTTTTATACACGAGTAAGCAAAACCATCAGAAGCAGACTCATATCCTCGAAGCACCTGTCCGTGACCTTCATTGCTCAGTTTCTCATTGAAGATCGAGTATATGGAATTAGCGTAATTACCTTTTCCAACCTCGCGGCCTTTGATTCCTTGTTGGAGAGCCTTTACTTTACATAGATAGTTTAATTCATAGATATTGTAGGAAGAGCTGTCGATGTCCCACCACCAAAGCTCAATCCCAATAGTGTCTGACTGCATTAAATTACTATGATTTGTTACACGTAGAAATTAAACTAGCATTTGAAATACACTGTTCTAAAAATCTAATTACTGTTTGATGGTTTACAAGCTTTGTATCTTCTCACCTAATTTCACCCGATTTTTGAACCGTACTGACTCACTTTCAAAAGTAAAGCTTGAATTTACATCTCTGCTTATGAACAGTTTTTGCAATTTACATTATTTGTGTGCTGATTTTTAAGTTCCATTTATTATTTTCAGGTGGTGGAAGTGGTGATGATGCTTACACCAGCAGTAATGCCTGCTGCCCAAAGTCTTTGGTACCAAGTAATCAACAGTCCTATGGCTATGGAAAAGTTGTTTCCTAGTCTTGTCAAGGTATTTACTTTCAATTGGAGGCTTTGAAACGTGTTTGAAGAAGAAAGAAAAACGAAGATTAACACTTGATTGGTAAAGGATTAGGAGACATGTGATATAGTAACATAGAAACTTGAAAATGGGCCCAGATAACGGAAAAGCATTGAAAAAACACTTCCCTAAAAAACTTTGCAAGAATGGGGCAATCAAAAACAAGTCTGTTGATAGTATCATATAAATAACAATCTAAAGAACGAAGTACACTAAATCTGTTCAACTTTATCTTCTTTTCGGGCTTCAGCATGCATTAACTGAAGAACGAAGAAAGAATAGTGCAGGAGTGGTGCGTGCAAATCAGCACTGTCAGTCAGTCAAGTGCAGCACATGCCTTTGTTAGGGTACCTTCAACAACGCCAGTTTGTTGTGGTTTGTGTCACACTTTTTTCTCCAGAATTCCCCAGGTGTGATAGCCTAATGGACTGAGCTTTGAGTGGAAATGGGGCCCTTCGCGGGCGAGAAAGGATCATAAAGAAGTTCTTACGTACCTCTTGCATCAGCTTTGCTATAACTGCAGCCAAATCCTGCTGGAAAATGGTCGCGTCCGAGTGAGACCTGACCAAAAGGACCGCTTTATGAGAACGTTATTTAGGTAGCTTTGTTTCTACTTATCTACTCCAGAATCTGTAAAACAATAGGAAATTTTCCGGGTGACGAACGCGGAGATTATTATTACGCTGGATGGCCTTCTTTGTAGTGATCTCTTCACATTGGTTATTCACTGCCTCTATCCTAAACATTCCTGCGGCGTGTTTCTAACAAGGGAAAGATACTTGGTCGAAGTGGCGATTTAAAAAGTGACATACTGGTAGATGCAGCTTCAGACGCTGATTTCAAATCGCCTTCCATATCTGCGAAGCGTTTCTCTGGAAGAAGTTATGGAAGCTTTTCTTTGTTGAAATTCGTCTGTGCGCCTCGTCAATAACCATTCTACGATATTAAATCCAACCAGAAACAACAAGCAAATTATTTGATTTTATTATGAAGACATGTTTTGTATCTAATCGGTCTTCGCGCTGTTGCTTTGGGTCATGAACTTTTGAGCATTTGGGACCCC